AACAGTTGTAACTAAAAAAATGCACTCCGATGTCTGACAAATTCTTTATGAAAAAAAAGGGATTTATTTGCCTGAATCGCTTGAGTTTAGTCAGCATATGTCATACGTTACCAGTCAGCTCCACGTGTTTATTTTCCTTAAAAAATCATGACAAATGTGGGGTCCTGCCAATGAGTGAAATTGACTCCAATTTTAAGAACAAAATCGGATCTAAGTTTCGCCCGTTAAAATGGAAAAGTGCTTCGCCTTCTGACGCGTTTATACATTCTCAACTCATATAACGTAACACTATGTAAGTTATTTTTTGTTAACTTTCTGCTTCTCATATGTCCTCATGGTCGCTTCGAATCTTACAGCTTTCCAACTAACCTACCAGAAGTCGTTGGAAGTTGGAAGACCTACTTTTTGAGGTTGTGGACGCCAACATAGTATCACCTGTCGCAGATACAGAAACGGTATCCGTGAGGGAGGTAGTAAGAACCTCAGGAGCAATTGACGACGTCTGAGGCACAGCGATCGAACTCTCCGTCAAATCGCATGGCATGGTCTGGCAGGCAGCTTCCTTGGCTCCCACAGGTGGCCATGGGTAGGATCCACCGCTAGATGATTGAGAGGAGAGTTCACTATCATCGCGGAGAACACTTTCATAGCCGCTGCTCGCGTGCCCACCTCCACTAGCGCATGTGAACTTAGTAGTTGCCAGTGCTCCTCCTTCGTTCTCCCCCTCTGGAGAAGCAGTCATCCCAATCCGTGTTCGGTGTGTGCGCATTCGACATCTGCGTATTCGCGCTCCACTCTGTGCTACCAAACAGTGACATCGCAGGGACTGCTGCTCACTGTGTTCGCTTCCAAGACCACTGCTGGAGCTCTGCGAGACACATTTGTGGTGGCAGTGAGTATGTGGTGACTTCTCAAAAACCACCTGACAGTGGAAGGCCATGCTATCTTGTTGTTGTTGCTGCCGACTGGGGTGAAAACGTTGAAGGGAAGGAGCAGGGGCGGTTTGGGGAGCGGCGGAAGCAAGAGCCTCGGTTGGGACAGTGCGGTTAGGACTGCATTTGCCAAAGAGCGGGCTTTGAAGGAAACCTAGTCGATGTTTAGTCCCAGCCTCCTATTCAAAAGAACAAAGATGTGCTGTTTAAAAAGCAAAAAAACATGTAATCTCCATGAACAAAAGGATTATAAAGCCGTGGAGAGTTTATTCAAGTATATTTTTCAAAAACGAACGTTCTCTCGTCTACAATGTTTAAATAAAACATGCGAGACTTAAGTTGCATTGTTGCTCAACCTCAGCACAATTTGTCATTCATTTTTATTGACACATTAAATCTCTGCATTAATTAAATACTCCGAAGCCTAAAAGGGGAAATACAAGTATAACAATATCATATAGGTTAGGCTGAGAACTCCTGCAACACCTTGTTAGCTAGACAGTAATCAGGTACCGAGAACAAATGCCCTCATCACTGCCATGATAAAAAACCAAGCTGAAAATTTAATCTTGCGGCCTTTTGCCACTTAGTTGCTTTATAACGGCCCAAAACAGAACCTTCAGCTAAGATGTTTCGTAATTTGAATTTTGACAAAGGAAATAAAGTTGGAGCCCTCAAGGCACACCGTGATGGAACTGACTTCATTTGCAAAAAAGTGAGCTTAGCTGAAATTAGCCTTACACACACTAAACGAAACCTATCACACACATGGAAGTGTTGCAGTGGTACGTTCTTTAAGACCCATCCCATCTTTACCGTTTCAAGGTCCGAGCGGCGGGGGCAACCCAAATCTCACCAGCACCCCTGATGACCCAAATCCTGTACACCCGACTCATCCCATTCCTCTGCCCAAACACTTAGTAATAACAACACAAGCGTCAACAGCATGAAAAAGTTGTAGACAAGGTTGCATCGCACCGACGTCGACCACTTTAGGGAAGTGACATGACACCGACAGGGTCTACTCATCCGCTAGTCACTTTTGGCGACAGTTCGACCGCACCAGCGTTTGCCCGCACTAATGTGAACTCACTAAGTGACAAAATACCGTTTTTATGTCTTTGCTCATGTCTATTAATTAAACACTGCATTCGAAATTAAAAACAAATTTTGCGCATTCAATTTTCAACCCTATCGCGGTCATCCTAGTGCAGGTAACCAGATGCATTCTAATTGTTTTCCATTTAAAATGACTTTATTCATCCAGATCTACACATTAAGAAGGTCTACCCTCTGGCAAAAGTCATAATGTTGGACAAAATTTTGGCCGAACATATTAGCGCATAAGGACCACGTACCTTAAGTCGGAGACGCCCCTGTTGCCCTTCATCACAATACTTTTCAGCTCCTTGCTGATTCATATTACTTGCCGTCCGACCGGTTTGTTCTGCTTCAAGAAATAAACTCTCCTCGCCCCCTCTTCCCTTACTCAATGATGTAAAAAGCATGCCTGCTGAGTTGATGGATAGGAGGTCTCCTTCTGCAATTACTTCCCTTTCGCTTCCGCCGCTGGACCCAACGCCTCCGAAGAAGGGTGTGCATATCTTGCTTGCTTGTTGCTGTGAGCTCTGCTGCTGACGGCGTCGATTAGAACTGGGCGAGCAGACAAAAAGGTCCGCGAAACGCTTGAGTACTGGTTTGCGCAGCGGAGAGGCCTTTAGGCCCTCTGTTATTGTGTCCAGACCGCTTACAGAGCCAAAAGATTGATCTCTGTGAAGTCCTGGATCCGATGCTCCATCAGGCTTTCGTGAATCTGAAGGTGGTTTGGCGATTGACTGGGATTGATTCTCATCAATCGCTTGAAACATCATAGCCCCATGCTGAGCTCTAAATCGCGCAGCGGGAGCGGAACTACCTCGGCCGGTGACTTCTGGTGACTTGGATGCAGAGGAACAGGTGACGCCCTTGCTACAACTTTTGCAAAGTGGGGAACTCTGTAGAGGATGCTTTGAGCAGCCTTTAGAGAGGGCTGGAGGGCTGTGTTCGGACGTTGAAACTGATTCGACCCAACGTGCCACACGGCTCAAATTATCAACGGCCGGACTGACCTGGTGATTCTGGGTGGTCCACAATACCTCGGTTGTCACATGCCGTGGCAGACTGTGGGAATGGGATACAGAATCATTCGGTGCAATCATGAGGTCGTCCGGATCCACTTGCTTTTTGCCTTCATGACTTCTGCAATTTAATTAGATATGTACATCATTCTCGCAGTAAATATGAGAAAGGCTATATGAGTAGGCAATTTAAAATATGTGCATTAATAATCGCTTGGCTTCACCTACTAATAAAAAAAGCGGCCACGATTTTTCTTTTGAAAAGCTCTGATTAGAGCGCGACCTCTTCTAAGATGTTGCATAGAATGTACAGCATTCCGTTTTACTTGAACTCAAAATACAAACATAAGTAACGCAGAAAGTGCTAAAGGACCAAGGGTACAGCCCACATCTTGAAACTAATCTTACTTGCCTTTGATGGAACGTGCAGATCCAAAGCTGTAAAGATAAAGCCTTACCTGTGCGTTCGAGAAATTTGCGGTGTTTCTACGGTTTTTGTGGTCGTGTGGCAGTGAGTGTCTGGCTTTCCACTTGCGCAAACTTGTTTGCATCCGTGCTTTGGTGACGTGGGCTACAATTCAACAGCACAATTACAGCTTCCGCTTTTATGCAAGTCTGCGCAGTCGCCCCATTGTGCACAGGAGCCCGTGTAAAAATGAAAACCACTGCTTAAGGAGAAACTAACCAAATTCTAGACTATTTGACTCATAAACTGCCAGAATAGGTCGGTGTAAGTGCGAGATATCAAACTACTGAAAGAGGTCTTTGACTACTGAATGTGAGGGGAAAAGCTTGGACGCAGTTAGGAAGGAAGAAGCCTGGAGGTAATCTGTGGTAATTTCTTAAGGAAACAGCAATTTATAAAAAATTATCATATCGAATTCAACTGTGTACATGTAAAATTAAGGCTTATTTTGCTTCCCCAAAATTTGCTTAGTGTTCCCTCCAAACCGAGGATTTAAATTCACCCTTGTTTGTCTTTACAACCTTAGTTTTTATCATTACTGCAGTTCCCGATGCTGAGTGGAAAGCTGCCATACACCGCCATTGCCGATACTGGTTCTTTCGTCGCCATTTTCAGGAGGAAAATTAACCATGTATGGAGAATGAGACATTTATTAGCGAATTGTCAGAAACGCCTGTATCTTTAATCTCCGAACTGCAGACCGCCTCTCATTCTGGCCGCGTCCCGCGCTGACCTTATGGTAAATCAGGTATGCACATGAGCGAGTGACAGAGCAGGTTACAGTTGCGCCCATTTTACGTCCTCTTTCCCCGCTTTCCGGGTCATATTAGTCCCCCTCCGCAGTCCCTTCCTCTGCTGATCCGCTAATTGATAGGCCCCGGAAACTACGTTGTACACATGTACGACTATTAATGCATCGCACCCTGTGTTTGCTGGCTAAAGATAAGCGGAAAGCAAGAGGGAATGTAATTGGGATACAGTTGTGGGATTTTTTTCTTTGCGAAGCTTGCGCCAGTTGTAAGCAAAAAAAACAAATTACAGACTGCTCTTCTGAGTGGTTGAAATAGGCTAATGATGAGTTAAAG